TAGAAAAGATCTAATTCATGACATGAAAAATTTGTATCGCAGTTTTTAAATAAAAAGCACCCAAACATCCTACTTGTGTGGCTGTTATGTTTGTGTAGCTCAGATATTGATCATCACAGCAGATAAAGATGAAGGATTTGCTTCTGTCCGTTTTCTTTTTGTTCCACTGATGATTTTCTTGTTAAGGATGATTCTCCAGTAACAGCTTTACTTCTTGCATGTCACAGGCACTGGTCCATTTTAGTTCTTTTCAGCTAAGATGAGATATAAGTTCAGGATCAAAAACAAGTCAGAAAAGGAAGATTAACATCAACATTTTAAACCTCATGGCTTTATTCCTTTGCGTCTTTCTTGTTAATCTAATTACAAGATGCAGTTGCCACATAGTCCACCAGAGGGCGACCACCTGCATTCTGTGAACCAGCAGTGCAGTAGTTAAGGACTCATATTGAATTGTACTAAGCTGATCTAACAGCTGCTTTTGGAAACTTGAAGGATGCACAGATATGGCAAACAAAGACAGTAATGGAAAAAAAATACACCTATTCATGTACGGAGAAGCACCTGGTAGCGTTCTGTTCCCTGCCCTGTGATTGGTGGAGGAATTCTGAAAGGAAGTTAGGTGTGTGGGGACAGAAGCTGAGAAGAAGAGCGGTATTACCTGATCCGTACAGATTAATAAAAAGCCTCTCATCTGCTTGACGACAGTGATTTATTCACACGTTCCTTAAAACCAGGTAATTGGGATGCTATATAACTATCAACAGCTCAGTAGCTTTATGTCATGGAGCATGTCCGATATTTGAAATCAAAAAGGGGATAAGACAAGGATGTGCTGTTTGTCTGGGCTCATCTATGGTAAATTGTCTGGTTCTCATATAGCGCTTTTTGTTTTTTACTGTATCTGAGCACTCAAAGCACTTTATACAACTAACAAGTTATTTTGGTGTCATGGTGTTTTAAAGCTTAAATGGGTAAAGTCCTTTCCTTATAGCAAACAGTCATTGTGGTTCATTATGCCTCATGTAATATTTTTAAATTCTGGAGGAATAGACTTTTAAGTACTCTTTGACTTTGAATCATAGATTGCCAACCACTTTCTCTGACTTTCATCAACAGGTTTTTGTCTACTGGAAATTGATTTATAGGCACAATTTCACACCACATAATGCAGCAGTAACAAAATATTTGTATTGCGTCACTTCCCACCTCTGTACTTAAGAGAATCAAGTACAGAGCAGGCTCTTCTGTGTTTTCATGGCAGCATGGAAAACACTTATGCTTACTCCAAGCACCGCTGCGAGTTTGGCCGTCAGTGTCTGTTTTCAGATTCGCCTGCTGAGCTGCTGGTGGACATCCACCCGGACCCAAGCCTGGCCCTCAACTTCAGCCAGAAGAGCCACCGGGACCTGGCCACGCAGACAGGTGTGGAGATGTCAGAGCACGAGGTGAGCCTCACTCCCAAGAGATCATGGGATAATTATCAACTAAAT